AACAGAAGGTGCTACCTATCTGCTTGGAATTCCTGATCCACTTGGTGTATGGAACGGAACTTTGATCCATTTACAGCCTCTATCCCAGCCATTCTGAACTTTCTGTCTCATCTGTTCTCGACAGGTCGATAATACCGATCGCTTAACCCCTTAAGGACCAAACTTCTGGAATAAAAGGGAACCATGACATGTCATACATGTCATGTGTCCTTAAGGGGTTAATGTAGTCCTCTCCACGATTTCAGCGGCCCACGTCCCTATACTAGGGATCCCGGTGGGTAAAGACCTTCTAGTGTGTCGACTTCTGAGAGGCATCTAACTACAATGCCCCCCAGGGCCCAAATATTTACATCTCTGGGATGTAGACGTGGTGCTCCGTTTCCTGAGAGACTGGCCAACTAATGACAGACTCTCACTCTGACAACTCTCAGCAAAACTCACAGTTCTGGTTTGCCTGGTCTCATTCCGCAGCATGTCGGATGTTCGGGCATTCGACATCAACGTGTTCTTAGTCTCCCCAGAGGGAGTTACGTTTCGGGTGTCCCGTCGCACGAAATCGGATTCTACATCGGTTTTCTATCCCTTCTTCACTACTGATCAACAACTCTGCGTCATTTCTACTCTAGGACGGTATGTCAAGGTCACGTTACCGATACAACCTCTTCCTTGGGACAACTTTTAGTGTCATACGTTAGACCTCACGTCCCCATTTCGACCACTACTCTCGCCAGATGGGTTCGTTGGGTGCTATCGCTAGCAGGCGTGGAGGCTACCTTCGGGGCCCACTCTCTCTGAGGAGCGTCGTCTTCCTCGGCTTTCACAGCAGACGCTTCCTTGTCGGATATTCTGAGCAGTGGTCGAGAGAATCCACGTTTCATACATTCTACTGCCGCTCGAATTCCGGCGCAGCCATGTCACTCATAATCAGCGTTAAAAATGCAAAATAGGAAGTCTCCTGTCATGTGATAAAATTGAAGATTATGCTAGCGTTAGTGTACTTATAATCTTAATTTTAATAATGACAGGAGGTGAGTATTTTCCCACCCTTTCCCACCCTGGGAAGATGGGAACCTATGTATTCTAGCGAACTTTTGATCTACTTTTCCTATCTTCATCTCCTCTGCACTATCTCTACCAGAGATTTGATTGCTACCGTCCAGGCTATATACATTGCACTTACGTTTGTACAGTTCGATTGGTATTTTATGTGTATCTAGCCATAACTAGAATTATTTTGTGAATAATTGATAGGTTACTATCACTACTGCGAACAGTTTCAAGACCGGTGCCTAACCTATTTTACGTTCTATTTTCAGTTTAATTTGTGGGACTATAGGTCACTGGCAGATCGACTTTAATTGGATTACTACTCACTTCATGAGGATCCCATTTTTCCATTGGATGTTCACCCGTTGGTGTTTGCTATGGACTTTGTTTCTAGATTGAACCTTACCTTTTGACGATGTCGCTTACGAAAGAGGGGTAGGAGCCTATTTACTGTGAATACCATACTCCCTATTGCATTTTGATTGGTTAATGTTTCACTTTCTTTACTGCTGTAGAGTTTAGTAAAGTGAGTTATGCACAATACTCACCTCCTGTCATTATTAAAATTAAGAATTTAAATACACTAATGTTAGCATAATCTTCAATTGTAAGGCCACAGAAACTGTGGGCAATGTTAGAATGGAAGGGCTTGCAAAGGCTTCAGACAATAGAGCTTGAGCAGTTGTTTTAGTTATAATTCAATTGTACCAAGTACAAGTACAGTTCTCTAAGGTGACAAAAATTGGAAAGAAACTGAGACAAACAAAATCTAATAGAGTACTATGTGATGCTCTAAAATGTCTGGCTAAATCCATTCTTTTAGTTTACTTTAAATTTTAACAAGTAAAAAAAAAACATTATCATAAAAGGAACAAAAAATGCTCCTAAAATGCATTTTGTCCACATAAAATAGGCTTTTTTAAGTCTGAACTCTTTTCTTGGAGTTTTCTCAATATACAGACATGAAGGACTGAAAATTTGCAGTTTAATGACATCCAACACATTTGCGATTTCTCTCGTTTTCAAGTATGTCCTAGGTATACAAAACATTGCATGACTGTGAAAATGTGACTAGGACCAGCTAAAAGGCTAAGAAAGAGTGCAAACAGTAAATTATAACACAACTGGATAATAACATAGAAACATAGAAACAAAGAATGTGATGGCAGATAAGAACCATTTGGCCCATCTAGTCTGCCCAATTTTTTAAAATACTTTCATTAGACCCTGGTCTTATCTTATAGTTAGGATAACCTTATGCATATCCCACGCATGCTTAAACTCCTTTACTGTGTTAACCTCCACCACTTCAGCTGGAAGGCTATTACATGCATCCACTAGCCTCTCAGTAAAGTAATACTTCTGGATATTATTTTTAAACCTATGCCCCTCTAATTTAAGACTATGTCCTCTTGTTGTGGTAGTTTTTCTTCTTTTAAATATACTTTACTGTGTTGATTCCCATCAGCTTCACAAAGCAGATATAATATTTTATATGGAAGAAGCAAGACATGTATGGAAAATGGTTTCTAAAGGAAGCCAATATGATTTAATTGTCCAATTAAACATTGCCTTGGGTAAAGAAATACAATTTAAATGGCAAATTGTGATCCTTCAAAATATATAGCAAAAAGAATTGCATCAAGGGGTTTAAGAATTATGAAACTGCCTACTTCTGATCAAGATAATGCAGAATTTATGGCAGAATGGAATTAAAAAAAGTAAAAATGATCTCTACTTGACAATGACAACTAAAAGATAAACTACTCCCATTCGCAGAAAACCCAAAATATAAATAAGATTCCATACTTATACAAAGTAAAATAAAAAAAATAAAAAAAATAAATTGAGGAGGGAACGGTGGAAGAAGACTACAAAAGAGATAAAATAGACAGAACATAACCCCAAAAAACATTACCACACATATATACAATATCTCACAAAAGTGAGTACGCCCCTCACATTTTTGTAAATATTTTAGTATATCTTTTCATGTGTCAACACTGAAGAAATTACGCTCTGCTACAATGTAAAGTAGTATGTGTACAGCCTGTATAACAGTGTCAATTTGCTGTCCCTTCAAAATAACTCAACACACAGCCATTAATGTCTAAACCGTTGGCAACAAAAGTGAGTACACCCCTAAGTGGAAATGTCCAAATTGGGCCCAAAGTGTCAATATTTTGTGTGGCCACCATTATTTTCCAGAACTGCTTTAACCCTCTTGGGCATGGAGTTCACCAGAGCTTCACAGGTTGCCACTGGAGTCCTCTTCCACTCCTCCATGATGACATCACGGAGCTGGTGGATGTTAGAGACATTGCGCTCCCCCACCTTTCATTTGAAGATGCCCCACAAATGCTCAATAGGGTTTTGGTCTCAAGACATGCTTAGCCAGTCCATCACCTTTACCTTCAGCTTCTTTAGCAAGGCAGTGGTTGTGTGTTTGGGGTCCTTATCATGTTGGAATACTGCCCTGCGGCCAAGTCTCTGAAAGGGACGGTGTAGAGGTTTTTATCTCAAGTCAACAGGGGTCATATTCCAGGAGCCTCTGTACCTGTGTCTACAGCAAACTTTGCGTGCTTTCTTGTGCATCATCTTTAGAAGAGGCCTCCTTCTGGGACGACAGCCATGCAGACCATTTTGATGCAGTGTGTGGCGTATGGTCTGAGCACTGACAGGCTAACCCCCCCATCCCTTCAACCTCTGCAACAATGCTGGAAGCACTCATACGTCCATTTCTCAAAGACAACCTCTGGATATGACGCTGAGCACGTGCACTCTTTGGTCGACCATGGCGAGGTCTATTCTGAGTGGAATCTGTCCTGTGAAACCGCTGTATGGTCTTGCCCACCTTGCTGCAGCTCAGTTTCAGGGTCTTACCAATCTTCGAATAGTCTAGGCCAGTGATGGCGAATCTATGGCACGCGTGCCACAGGTGGCACGCCGGGCTCTCTCTGTGGGCACGCGGCCATAGCTCGCCATCAATGCAGAGTAGGCACCTGCCTGCCCAGGGGCAGGGATCCGTGTCGGGTGGCAGGGGGAGGGATCTGTGAAGCAGCTCCCCTGTTCTCCTGCGAGCAATCAGTGTGCAGCGTTGCCGCGCGTTACCATGGCAACGCTCCACACAGCATCGCGCGGGCGGGAGGACGGCAGAGCTGCAGGACCTGTCCCTCTTACCACCACCGGACCACTAGGGATTTATGTCCCCCCCCTCTTTCACATAAGGTAAGCCCTCCCCCACCAACACACACAGCAGTACTGGAACAGCACGTAAGTCAGTGCTCCCTCATGCCCACACCCCTTTACAGCAGCGGGAAGGAGGTAGGGAGCCTGGGAGAACTTCAAAGTCCCACTGCACCAAAAAAACAAACATTATTTGTGTGCTGGTAGGGAGAGGGGGATATACTGGGGGAGGGGGGATATGCTGGGATAGTGAGGGGAAGATGCCTAGGGGAGAGAAGAGGAAAATCTGGGGGAGAGAAGAGGAGATGCTGGGGGAGAGGAGGAAGAGGAGATGCTGGGGGAGAGGAGGAGGAGGAGATGCTGGGGGGAGAGAAGGAGGAGATGCTGGGGGAGAAGGTGAGGAGCAGGTGTTGGGGGAGAAGGGGAGAGGAGAATATGGGGGAAAGGAGGGGGATATGCTGGGGGAGATAGGGAGAGGAAGAGGAGAATCTGGGGGAGAGGAAGAGGAGAAGAGGAGGAGATTCTGGGGGAGAAGGGGAGAGGAGGAGAACCTAGGAGAGGAGAGGAGAAGGAGGTGCTGGGGGGAGAAGGGGAGAGGAGGAGATGCAGGGGAAGAGGGGGGTATGCTGTGGGTAGAGAAGGGAAGATGCTGAGGGAAAGAAGAGGAGAATTAGTTCAGACAACTGTACGAGTTGTTTTTTCTAAACTTAAACCTCACAGACATATATACCGTATCTCACAAAAGGGTTTAATTGCGGTGTTGGCACTTTGAGGAGAAAAAAGTTGGCATGTATTGAGGTTTGGGCACTCAGGCTCAAAAAGGTTCCCCATCACTGGTCTAGGCCATCTTTATGTAGAGCAACAATTCTTTTTTCAAGATCCTCAGAGAGTTCTTTACCACGAGGTGCCATATTGAACTTCCAGTGACCAGTATGAATGAGTGTGAGAGCGAGAACATCAAATTTAACACACCTGCTCCCCATTCACAACTGAGATCTTGTAACACTGAGTCATATTACACCGAGGAGGGAAAATGGCTAATTGGGCCCATTTTGGACATTTCCACTTAGGGGTGTACTCACTTGTGTTGCCAAAGGTTTAGACATTAATGTCTGTGTGTTGAGTTATTTTGAGGGGACAGCTAATTTACACTGTTATACAGGCTGTACACTTACTACTTTACATCATAGCAAAGTGTAATTTCTTCAGTGTTGTCACATGAAAAGATATACTAAAATATTTACAAAAATGTGAGGGGTGTTCTCACTTTTGTGAGATACGGTATATATGTCTGTGTGTGCTAATGTTCATTTCGGGTTATGCTCTGTCTATTTTTTTCTCTTTTGTAGTCTTCTTCCTCCGCTCCTTCCTCATGTGCATATATATATATATATATAGAGAGAGAGAGAGTGTAGATTGGATTAGCCGTATTAGTCCAGTAGACAAGATGCCAATTGCAGTATGCAATGATACCTTTTTTATTGGACTAACATAGAATTTAAAAAACAAGCTTTCGAGAGTGTGGCGGACCTTGTAATAATCCTTTGGTTGCCCGTACCTATCTCCAAGTTTCCCGAACTCATTCTTATCCCCCTGTTAATAGACTGAATGGAACATGTGTAGTCCGCCTTTTATTCGCTCTCAAAACACCAACCACCCCTGGCTGTTAACCGCAATTAGTGAGTAACTCGAGTGCTTTTCCTGGGTAGCCACCATTCTTATAACTAAACGCATATGGTCTAATGAATGGCAGCCATTTTGTCTCCCGAACACTTGGTTGTAGAGCGCATGGAACACATTTCGGCTACGCGAGTTTGCGAACCCCGGCAAAGATTGTATTGCTGCTCGTCCAACTTCCCAACCAGCTAAACGAAAGACATTTGGGAGATAGGAAATTCACTACTGAAAGCCAGGGGAGCATTCGTCCGTGTTCGCACAGGAACCCCCGAAAGCAGACCGGCCATTGCCTATTGGTTGACCTTTTTGCTCTGTTTGATATATATACACTTATGTTTGCTTTGTGGTGCTAGCTTGAAAAAGGTTGCTGCTCTTTTTTGCTCCATTAAACTGCCTGCGGCTTTAACACCTTGAGTGCCTGGAGAATTTCTAATGATGCATAATCCTGGTACTATACCATTGTCTGCTTGGTTGTACAATATTGCCAATGATAATATGGGGTGTTTTTTTAATTTATTTTTTTCCTTTCCACAATTTTTCCGTCTCCATTAGGGGGGTACATCAGCAAGCTCTAGGAAAAATGAAAATATGAAGCATGTGTAAAGAAGGACCTGCTTCATCCAGCACTTACAACAGTGGTTTCCTAGCTTACCTTAAACTAATTCACACATGACTCACTGGATAGTGGACTTCACAAATAACAGATGACTTCTAGCAAGATATGAAAACCGATTTTTCCACCTACTTCCCAATCCAACTTGCCCCTATCTATCAGATATGTAATCTTATCTACTGCTAATTTCCACATATAAAAACAAAAAAGGTTACTTGGTGACACTCCACCAAATTGAGGATTTATGAAAATGTGTCTTAATGAAAATATCACTTTTTATCCCTCATTGCTAATTGAAATAATTTCCATTAGACTGAAAATGGACATAAAGAACTCGGTATAAAATAGAACTTGGAGGGCATTGAAAATTGGCTAGTGCTCAAGAACATTGAAAACTAACAATTATGATGATCTTGCAGCCACTCTCAAACTACTTCCCAAAGTTAGTGGCTAGGGTGGGCTTGGAAATTAAGCAGCCCTATGCAAGGGTAGGATATGAGAACTACATGTGTAGTATGGTGTATGTTTAAAACAAGAGTTTATAGAAATGTTGATGCATCTACCAGAAACAATTATATTGTTTTGGACTCTGTTGTTGTATGAATTGGTCTGGCATAAAACATATATTGGGTAGTTGTAATATTCGTTAAGAAGACTTGAGCCAATACAAATGGGAACATTATAAATTGGTAGTGGGCCATATAGGCAAAGTGTAAAGGCAATCAAAAATGTATGAGAATTATTGAACCAGCAACCTAAGACTAACTTCTTGTATAAATTGCATAATTGACTGCAATATATTAATTCTGAAGGAAGAAACACCTTGGAAATGATTGAAAGCCTTAATTGCTAGAACTGGAAAAAAGGGCCATCATACT